TGCCATTAGTGATAGTGTGCTTTACTACAACAACAGCAAAAAACAACATCTAAACGACCGTCTCTACTCTACTCTTTACCCAAATGAAGGAAGTCATTTGCTACTGATTGGTAAAATTGCATTTGCTATTCAAATTCAATTGTGCAGTTACTCAGTTTAAGTAATTTTGTGTCAGAGTCAGAGGCAATTTATGCTCTACATCGATTGGATCACTGCAGTAATGACACCGGGCGAGGCTGCTGCTATTGTTGCTGCTGTTGTGGTTGTTGTTTCTGTTATTGCTCTGTTAGGTAGCTAAAATAGAATGCATTTGGGCCACTTGGTAACAAAATACCGTGTACTTTTCTGTGCACTATAGCGCTCCTTTGAATGCGTTCAATATGGCAGTGATTGGCTCTAGATCTGTACGCCCATTTGTTGTGTATGACAGACAGGAGAAAACGTTGGGAGACTGGAAAGTAGAGGGTGCTTTGGGAGTAGGATTCAGGGCGCCAGGTACATTAACGTCACCGTGCCAAACTGTAGATGACGCTTTAATTAATAAATACAGCAACTTCCTAAAGAGAAGCTGAAGTGGTGCAAGTGCTGAAAGTTAGCCATTCGTAAAGCAGAGAGCAAGNCATTTGTCGTGTATGACAGACAGGAGAAAACGTTGGGAGACTGGAAATGAGAGGGTGCTTTGGGAGTAGGATTCAGAGCGCCAGGCACATTAACGTCACCGTGCCAAACTGTGGATGACGCTTTAATTAATAAATACAGCAACTTCCTAAAGAGAAGCTGAAGTGGTGCAAGTGCTGAAAGTTAGCCATTCGTAAAGCAAAGAGCAAAAGAAACAGGGAAACTGTTTGCCGCGGTGAAATATGCTTCTACAGCTTTGTCAGTCAGGAGAGGAGAGAAGCTGCAAAGTGCCGTCTGAAGTGCTCATTATCACCGGGGCCATCTTGCGCCCGTCGTCACCCGGGCCGTGATTTGCATTCTACTGCTCTCCTCGGCACTCTTCTTGCAGTGGCTTCAACTCTTCAACTCTTCTGTTTGTCTGCGAGTCCGGATGATTACAGTTATGATCACACTGCTAATTACACTGACAGTGCAGTCTCAGTGGCGTTGTCTTCATGTCTTCTTGTTGATTTGCTCATTGCAATTACTCGCTCGGTGGCACCAAATCAAGTCCGCCTCGCCTGGCATCTCCCTCTCTCTTTCTGGTTGGCGAGTTGGCCGCTGTCGACAAGAAGGAGAGCAGAAAGAGCAGCGGCAGCGGCAGGTCTGGCCAATTGCTCTGACCAATCTGCATAATGCAATTACACCTTACACTGCCACTCACTAGAAGCCATTATTGCATAAAAATTTAATCAAATCGCCATAGTTGCCATTTACAGCCTCTACGGGGACTAATTTAATATTCCGGGTGCGTAGTGCTCCCATATTCTGATTTACTTCGGGCCAAACTGATTTCGCTGCTGCTCTTTCTCTTGCCACTGCTCAGCCGTCAGCAGTCTTGCTCTGCCACTCTGCTGGACGCTGAACAGTGCACTGACAAAGTGAGAGGCGCTGTTTAAAAATTCATAAGCACATGATTTAGATTCAATCGATTTACAGCACTGAAACAAAATGTAGCACTTATTGCGGCATTGTTTCATTTTGATTAGTCTGCTTCATATAACAAATGACCACAATATGCCGGTGCAGTTTGCACTAGCTTAGTTTTAAATACATTTTAGGTAACCTAGTAGTCAGAAGTGTTGGAACTGTTCTTGAAGCCCAGCCATACTTTTAAAGCAGCAAACCAAACCTATTGAACTGCTGTCAGGTAGAGGAAAGATGTTGATAGCAAAACTGAGTAGCCGATGAAGCAGAAAGTGACAATGTGCTGCTGTGGCGCGATCAAGTGCCTTCCGCTCCAGCAGCTGCAGCAACATCAACATCAACATCAGCCAAATCATCATCAGCAGGAGCACTGTTTGGCTAAGGCAATGGATTCTCTCCTGGCTCACCTGAATCGGCTGTCGGCGCCCGAGTGCAGTGTGGAAGGCACCGGTGCAGGTGTGTTCATCCAGTCCACTGTGCACCATTGCGCTGGGTGGCGCTCAGGTGGCGGCGATAGCAGTGCGCAGTGCACGGCGACGCTGGTGGAAGGCCGCCTAGAGGAGGGACGATGGGAAGTGACAGGCAGACAGACAGACAGGCAACTGCTGCAGCAAGTCTACTCGCTGTCTCTCTAATCTAATTTTGCGCTCCTTTGCGTTAGATCGTGTTTGCCAGTCGCCCGTGTCTGTCGTCTGTCGTCTGATCTGCACCGCCAGCCATCACACCAACTTTGATCAACTCAAATTCAATTATAACTGTTTATACCACACTCACCTCGCTTACTGTCGTCCTATCGCCGATCTCACCATAGCCAGCCTCAGCTCATCTCTATCACCATCAAAGTTCCAAGAATACACTGACAAGTTTTATTTGTTGATCCTTCGGTTTCGGCAACTGTTTGAATGAGAATGTTCATGTGTGTGCAATCATTAGGCAACTTGTTGGCATTTTCAAGTGAATGATATTCAACCAGCTGGTCACTTAGTTCTTCCAATTCTGTTATTTGGTAAGCACTTTGCACTTCTTTTATTACTTCCTTTTATCTGCATGTGTGAAGAAATTCTCTCTTTTTAATGTGACCTCAGATTCTCTCATTTGAGGTTTATGTTTGTGAGTCTGAATGCTACCTGCATGTTTTCTTCACTGAAAACGCAATCTGCAATGTACTGCATTGTTAGTCGCGTTTACCGGAAAAAAGGCAGTGTGGTCACCAGGTTCTCAGTGCGTCTCAGTGCGTAACGCCGGCTAACTGTGGGAAAGTTAATTGGACAAATTCAATTTAGCCCACCGCGTGCGCGCATTTTACGCGCCGTCTCCTCTCCTCTTTTCCCTGACAAAACTCTGTGACTTACTCTTACTATTAATTCTAATTAATTTTTAATTGGTTTTGTTTCTTGCCAATTACTCACTGTTTGCCACTTTAAGAAAAAACACAAAAAGTCTTTTCATTAAAACAGAAAAATTAGATTTTTTATTATAAAGATTTGTTAAAAGTGTGACAAGTTTGACGACCCTAAAAACAAAACGATTGCACTTGCTATAGATTATGAATACAAACGCCGACAAGTTTCATTTTTAGAGTTACAACCTTGAAGTTTATGACGTTCACAAACCACTTTCTAAACTAAACTCATTTGCTAATAGCATCTAAGCCGATTATAAGTGGCCAAGTGCTTTACTCGCCGGCTAATCGGCGAGTTGCAATCAGTTTGCAATTTTTCTTGTGCTTTTTCAGTTTTGTGGTGCTCCAGTTCAAAAGTACTCTGCTGGTTTAGTGGGTAAAAATTACTCTATTTTGCGGCGAATCAGTTCTCTTCATTCAACTTCTGACATTGGTGGCAATTTAATTAAGCGGCGCCAATCTATTCTCTGCCGACCATTGTGGCAGTCATTGCGTCAAGTGGCAACGACTTAATTAGAATTCATATTTTATGTGCCTTTCCTATCTATTTGCATCTAAGCGTCAGGCCAAGCGAGGAGAGCAAGATAAGGTTGGTCAATGGCTGCTGCTGCTACCATGAGAGAATGCCCTGGCTAAATTGGCATGCGATTGTTTCACTTTATTAATGCGCCAAATTAATAAGCACTTTCATTAGATACGCCAGCTTCTGACGGGCACGGAGGCCAACTGCCCAGGCTGGTAGTGCAGAGGCGCTCCTTGGCGCGTTACCGCTACCAGCACTACCGGTGACAAATTGCCCTTCCTCTCAGTGGTAATGGACAGCTTTTAATTAGATTAATCAAAGCTGACCAGTGACCACTGATGCAGAACTACCGACCACTGTTGCTGGCGATGGTGTCAGTGTCGGCAATGTTGGCCATTGCTCTCTCTCTCTCTC